GCTCCAGTGACTGCTGTGGTGTAATACAGTGTATTACAATTAGCAGTGCAGTAGATGATGAAAATGTATGTTTACAAAAAAATACAAAACTTAGTTATTCAAAGTTATTTTATTTGCAAACTGTTGAATGCTGGGTTTTGCAACCATGAAATCTTTGGCGGTCTTAAATAAAATCTAAAGATGAAGAAAGAAAGAAACCATCAGCACTTGGAGAGAAATTTGGACAATTCCTTTTGATATAAAGCACAGTTTTTATCATTAGGAATTTCAGTATTCTGATACATAAGGAATAGACTTTAAAATATTCAGTTCCATAGTTAGTATAGTCTATTCTTCAGTGCCAAAATCTGTTCTCATGGAGGAATTGAATGCAAAACAGATCTCTGATGTTTAATGAATGCAAGTAAAATACTGAAAGAAATATCAGAGTTGAAATGTGTTGCTAAAGTTATTGTGTTTTATCTTTGGATAACTGCTAATATTTTTAAGAGCTGAGACTTTCCAAAAGTTGAGAATTCATAATTGTCATAAGAAACATGGATTTTGCATTCTTGTTTCATACACCAGACTCAATAAAAATACTTTTCAGAGCTGGAGTTTAGTATATTGGTTATTAAAGTCAAATAAAATGAAGTATATGTGATTAAGGTGAGTAAATGTTACCTTTTAATATAGATCAGTCTTGTCAATTTCTGCATAATGTATACAGGACAAAGGACTCGGTAGACAAGCGACATAGACTGTAGTGATTTCTGTTTAACGACGGATGATAACTAGATCACGGTTAGATATCTAGATCCCAGATTGCAAAAGGGTCTGATCTATATGTATGAGAACTTAAAGATCTTTAGCACTTTGCAAATACAAAGAAACTATATTGCTCTGACAAATCTTGATTAAGTTCATGACACTGCACAAAATGATTGTGCAAGACATAGCTAAATATGGTCTAACTTTTCTTCTCTATTGATTTTCTTTTCTCTGTGGAATTTGCTTTCATCATACCAAATAAGAATTTTTTATCCGTCCATTTCTAACTTGTTTTGTTCTTTCCAAGTTATTAATCGGAAGGTGGTATTGCCCTGGCTTCGATTTATTTTTGCCTTTTTTTAGTTTATATAGCTATGCTACTACAAGTATTTTGGGAGGTCCACTCTAGAATATGTCCTGGGTAGCTGCGCAATGAATTCCTTCAGGAACTGTGACAGTGCCTTCTACACAGATGTTCCTAGACTTCTCTGCTGTAGCTATATAGCGCAGGTGCTACCCCAGGTAAAACAACCTGGTTAAATGTCTTTTCCCCCGTCTCTCTCACCCAAAAAGATTGGTAGTAATTCATGCTCTTATTTGCACTGCTGATCTGAAAGATGTCATGATTTAGGAAAAAAATTCCACGTTAAGTCAAAATAGTTCTGGTTTTATTTCTCTTGGAATTTTGAGCCAGTGGAAGTAACAGAAGTTTTAAATTTTTCTGGTCTATGAGTTTACGAGCTCTTTTAGGGCTGTTTTCGGAGAGAAAGTAGCATATTAACAGAAAGATGACTTTTCTAAGGAAAAAGGGAAAGAAATACATCCTGTATCGCTCAGAAACTGCTATGGACTATTTAGGAGATCTAGATGATTGGAGTACAAATGAAACAATACAAAGACTATAAAGCTGCAGAAATAATATTCTTTTGCTTTTAGCATTTTTTATGATTGTAGATTCTCATACACTTATGTGCCATGAATTTTTCATATATTCAAAGGAATATTTTTTAATTGTATTTCTACTAAAATGAAAATGCAGTAATGAAATTGAGTAGTTTCTCTAGCTGTTAAATGAGCTAGTGTTCTGGAGACACTGGTCTTTAAGTTCCTTCTGAAACTGTCTGCATTGGCTAAATTCATATGTTATTATTTTAATTGATTATTAATAATGTAGAAAATCAGACAACGTCTGCAAACTTTACTGATAACATTATTTATGTTAGAAAGTATGAAGGGCAGAAATTAGGATATTACAAACTATAGTAATTCAAAACTTTGAATTAGGGCTCTTTGGGGCCCTGAATTACGGTATTAAACTTTGGTACTTCAGCTTTACACTTCCTTTAGAGATACTGGCTATATAGAAATCTTCTTAGCTCTAGAATTCCTTGAGCAGCAAATGTTGGTGACTAGGAAAATTCTCAGGAAGTATTTCAGAATCTACAGAATCTTCACTGTCTACCATTTTTGTTGTTTTTTGTTTACTCATGGCATCAACTTTTGCTTGCCACTGGAATCAGAATATTGGGATAGATCGGGCTTACAGTATTGAGTATGGACACTATGTTTCTTATGCATATAGGAAAATTTAAGAGGAATCAATATAGGGAGAAAATCTGAGGTTTAAAGTGAAAGAAAATAAAGGTAGGAAATGTTTGAAAGAGCTCAAACTATTTTAGTTATGAAAAAAGACTTATTAAAATGGTTTATTCTGGAATTACAAACACTAAAAATAGGAATTATAAAGTCATTGTATAGTATTAGAAAACATAAAAATGGTTTGGAATCCTTAGTATCAGCATGAGATACCTATACCATAACCTAATATGCTTGGATTTTTTAAAGAAAATCTTAATTTTGATTTTTTTTTTCTGTTTTCTTTTGCCATTGGTTTGGGGATAATAAAAAAACAACTGTAGCTACCTACCATGAATTAATGGTATGTCTAGATTTGTTTAATTCAAGAGAAGTAGGAGGAAATTTTTGTTCTATATTGGCATTTCTAATATTATAGAACTTACTGGAGTGTCTCTTGAAGCAGTTTGTAATGGTCATTACAGACTTGGAATCACTGATTTTATTCATTTTTTTTAAATCAGTTTATATTTGTGCACTGTCAGTAAAGATTGCGTATAGTCTGTCTGAGTAGAATTAAATGCATGTATAAATCCCAAATCTGATTAGAGAAGGATTTACGTAGAGGTATCATGTATAGGCTTTGAGCTCATTATAAATAATAATTTTAAACCTACTGCCTACTTGCTTTAGCTAAAGTAAATGCTAACATTCTTGAAAAAATATCTTTGATTCTTTTTCCTTGCTCTTCATTTGTGGATTTGGCAAGACCTGAAATGGGGATACAGGATCCTTTCCTTTCTGAGGTTTAAGTGGGCCACTTAAAACATGTGCATTGAACAACATATTTTTATGCATTTCCATGCTGTTCAGTAGCAGGAAAACAATGTGATTTAGATTTGAGTGAACATAACAAATGGTGACCTTTACAGAGTCTGTACTAATTATTAATAAGCTGTAAGGGATGTAAACTGGTTATTTAATCTTTCCTCTTGCTCTGGGGTGGGATCAAAGAACTAATTAGGACTTGTAGCTATCTAATATGTTCTTAAAGTCCTACAGTGATGGAGATTTCATATAATGCCTGGAAGTCTTTAAAGATGAAAGAGTAAAATGGTGGAATAAACTTCATCTTTTCCATTGCAGTGCAGAAATTCAGCACAGAGTTAAAACTATTTCCTCTTGTTCTGTGTACACAGAGATCAACCCCCCTGCTCAAGCAGGGACACCTAGAGCACATGGCACAGGGTCTTGTCCAGATTCTGAACATCTCCAAAGATCAGTTACACTTAGCAGCAGTGTTACCTACATAGATATATTCTATAGAGTTCTGTTTATTTCTGCCTCGTTTGAACTGTGGTGGCCCCATGTCCTTCTTGGCATGCAGTGCCTCAACCTTTATTCACTATTTGAATACTAAATTTACCAGTACTAAGATGACCAGATAATTACTGTAAAGCAGTATTTTTGTTTATTTATTGCAGTATGCTTTTCTGACAAAGGCAGGAGATTCATGACCTCTGGTCTGTTATCATGTCTAGAACATCTATTTAATATAACTGCATATCCAGTGTATTGTTGCTGCTGTATTTGTATTGTTGCTGCTAGTTAATATCTAAATAAAACATGCGGCCTAAGCTCAGTATGTCTGTCTTGTCCCTCTTCAATGGCGCTTTGGATTTTTTTTCAAATCATTTTTATAATTTGTCAAGATTATTTTAAATATGCTTATTTAAAGCTTTTTTTTTTTTCTTTTTTAGATGATGAAACACTGGTAACTGTATTCTGAGAATGGTTTTCTAGTCAATTTTGCTACAGCCATTCATGTTTTATAGTAACTTCCTGTAATGATAATTTGTGTCTTTATATAATTTTCAGTTGGCTGAAGTATGCCTTATATGTAGGGACTACATGTAAGACAGAAATCTATTCATACTTCTTTTTCCTCTTCTAGGATTTTTAGAGATACCTTGTTTTTAATGTTCATTCTCTTTATCTTTTAATCTTCTTTTACCTTACTCAACCTTGACAGATTCTTTCAGGTAATTGCTGATAGGGCTGACATGCCATCAGTGTTTGAAGTGTCCTGTGATAGATATTCATCTGTTCACTGTCTTGAAAATACTCACATTGCCTAGAAACTGTGCTATAAATTGCAGTAGGTAACCTGTAAAGATAAATTTACTCATAGCCAAGATCCTGAAGAAATTGTACTAATGATTTAATTGTAATGCTCAGGAAGATACCAAAGTCTTGGTTCATCTAGTCTTAAATGCTAAAGTTCTATTTAGAGTATTGTTTCAGGTTGAAGTCTAGCTCAAAAGACATATCTGATTTTTTGGGGGGGCTCAACTAGCAATTAATCTATGGTAGATATCTGCGATTTAAAATAATTTCTTTTCCTGTTCCCTTATGTATTTAGTGTGCTTGTCCTCTGTTGCTTTTCATTTCATGATATTGGAGTGTTTGACCCACAATTTGTTCAAATCAGTAGACAAAATGAAAGGTAGAAAGACTGGAGTGTTAGTGCTAAGTGCCAAGTAAATATTGTGCATGAGAAGGATTTAAAAAAAAGGCTGATTATCAATCAAAATTCTTAAAAACATATGCATTGGTACCTTATTTGCATCTTCCAGCATTTTTAATAAATTACTTTTATATCTGTTTTTTAACAGAAATCTTTTGGACAGAGACACATTTTCAAAATCCGATCCAAGTAAGTATGCAGTATTTTATTCTTTTTCCTCATCATATATTCCAAATGAGTAAGCACTGGATTAAAAATTGTGTTTCTTCCATGCAAATTAAGTTCCTTTTGCCTTTGTGACGATTGTTTAAAATAATGCTAGCAATCCTTGTAGTTTCTCTTATACGAACTGGGATTTTAAAGATTCCATTTACCGTTACTACTTTTGTGAGATATCTGGTCCCTCCCTCCTTTTTTTAAAAAAAAGCAAACAACCCCCATTTTCTTGAATGAAATGTCTTTCATATTTTTTAAAATAAGATGTTCTAGGTTTCTGCCAATACTAGTATGCAGACTAAATAGACTTAATTTAAAACTCTTTTTGCTTTTGCTCCTAGTGCAGTGACACCTACTAATCTCAAGGTCAAAAGATGAGAAATAAAATTATATTATTTTGTTTGTGAGAACCTTTCTCGGTATGAGGCTTATAGATAATATGAACAATGATAGGTTCATATTTTCAGATATGGAAGACAAGGACGCTTATTTTCCCCTGAAGTTTCATATATGAAACAAACTCAAGACTTGGTATGAGTTTTAACAAAAATTCATACTGTGTCCAGTTTTAGACTCACTGAATTTGTAACCATCAAATCATAATATCATAGAACACTGTAAATTAATTCTTCATATTAAGATCCTGTTAGTTAACTGAGTCAATTCTAATATGCTTTTCAAACTCCAGTTAGTTATCGAAGGATACTGATGATTGATAGCAAAAACCTGGTGCTATCCTCATTCAAGGAGGGACACACATAACCATAATTGACACCCATGCCCATGTAAACAGACTTCTTCTGAAACCAAAAAGGAACTTTTGATTTCTCCAGTCCTCTTAGGAGGCTTACTTAGCCTGTTTTTGATATTGTAACTTGCTATTCAGTATTTATTCCAATTCTGATCACTTTCCTACAATCTAGAAATTTCATAGGGAGGGATCGTGCAGTTTGCCTCCCAGGAGGCAAATTACAAATTTAAAGAATTATTTGAAGAATACTGTAAATTTAGAAATTGACTGAACATTTCTTCTTTTCACAGTCTGTGTTTTGTACACACAAGCGATTGGAAACAAGGAATGGAGAGAGGTAAGATACATATGTATTGTTTTAACATAAGTTGTATCCAGGCTAAACAATGGTAATCATATATTACTGGTAAACACTCAAACAATTCAAAACATTATTCCCATTTTCCATATATGTATCTCATATTTCCACAAGAAAGTAAAAGCAAAATAAGAAAAAAAAATCCTATTTTCTACTGTCAGGAATTAGGTCAAACTTCTTATCCATGCAGACAAGGTTTGTAGATATGGAGAGACAGGGAAACACTAAAAGATCTGTGGAAGACTTCAGCAAAACTAATCTATAGGTGTAGTGTTGAGGAAAAGCTAGGTGCCTCTGCGTAGGCTGTGCACCTGGCAGCAAGAGACAAGAGTATTGGGTATGGTTAGGTGCAGTACAGAGAGGCTTGATGAAACTCTTCCTCACTGTTCTGCTATGTGGCCTGCATTTGAAGAGGTCAGGGAGGAGTGAGTTATCTTACTGTTGCTGGCTGTAAGAAAAAGTCTTGTCTTCAGAACTGATATTTTACATGATTACCACAGAAGGGGCACAAAAAACAGACCTCTTCCTTTCTATTTAATGTGCCTGCTAATTTGCTGGAGAAATATGTTTTCCCTCTGCTGAAATGTGGTCTTAGTTCTGTCAGGTTAAGGGAATTAAATTTGTCTCCTGCTTGGACAAAAGCTCAAATAATCAGACTAATATATGAAATGCTATTTGCTGTTTTTAATTAAATTTCTCCTGCCTTTTGTTCTGACCTCAGTGTGTGTTAGACATCCTCTCAGTATGCTTGCCTACTACATCGTGTTCCTCTGATGGCTTGTGTGAAGTAATGACAGTTTCAGGACCTACATGGCAACTTGCCTGCACTAAACTGGCAGAAATAGTGGACATGCATGGAATTCTAAAATTTTGGGTATTAAATCTAAAAGCAAGGATGTCTTCAGGTGTTCTGCTGCCTTAGTGGTTTGAGGTAGTTCAGTAGTCAAGCCTAGATCACTATTAAAGCATCCGAATCCTCCTGTTGTCTAAGTGTAGGAGTGTTTTGACAGAAATTCTGGCCTTTGTTATTGTCTAAAGTTGATGTGTAGCTTTGTAGATTTTTTTTTCTTTTTTTCTGGTGCAATTTTTAAAGTATTATCTGTTTGCTGAATTGTGTTTGTCCTGGTGGTCAAACACATCAGCTTGCTTAGAAAATTTTCTATGTGATAATTATAAGGTGCTTTGAGGGGATAATCAATGCAAAGATTTCATTTACACATCTGTTTGTGGTAGATCCAACTTTGTAATAGCTAGGTTACCACTTGTGTAGCTAAGTGTATACCTGTATTCGTAGGTATGTTATCCCTTTATAGCTTTGTATGGTCTCGTACCATATTATCATTGTTATCAAAGTGGATATTATTATTATATTATTATTATCAACAAGCGGATGGGACAGTATGTGATATTACTGCTTTTACTACATCTTCTCACTGCTTAGAGAGTAAGTAGACGAAGTGATGCACTCTAGGCATTTTGTTATGATAGCATATACAAATTTAGAAGCTACAGGGATCACAACAGACGTTTTAGATGCCTATGCTACAAAGTCTTACCTTTTTCATTTAAGACATAATTATTTCCGCCTTGTCTATCAGGAGAAAGGTGTAGGTATTTATATCTTAGTTGGATGTTTGAACCATTTGTAGTTAATGGAAAGAGATCATTTCCGAAGGGCAGTTCAGCAGACCTAATGTTCACATTAAATCAGAAGAACTCTAGAATTGCCTCCACTGATGGTCAGAAGCCTACATTTCTGACCATCAGGTGCCAAATTTGGTAAGAAGAATCCCTTTCTTAATCACTATTATGCAACACAAAATGTAGAGACTGGCCTAACAGAGGGGCTGAGTCAGGTCTTCATTTTGCCTAAGTTACTAATACCAGTGATAAAATGTATGGTGGTAGGTGGAAGCTTGGTTGATGTATGCTGTGAGACGGCTAGTTTGGGTAGATGTTAAAGCAGTAATACCATGTTTCTTAGTAAAAATCTGTAAATGTGTCTGTTTTATAGCCTTTAGATATTTTTTTACCACAGAGAGGAGGAAGCCACCTGGAATTGTCTGGAGAAAACCATTAAGACATGTAATGAACACCTAATGATACGTGTAGACATTAAAGAATGGTATTTAGTCATGGCAGTGTACTTTACCTTGGTTTTGTTCTGTATGCTTTTATGCATAGTTATCTTCCTCCTTTAGCCTAATTAATTTCTTTTGGACACTGCAGAAAATGCTCGAGTAAATCATATCATAATCTCTGCAATTTCCCTAGCCCTCCATGGTAGCAGCATGCTTCTTTTTCCTTTCAGCCAAGATCTTAATTGATTCAATTGTGGTGCATGATCAAATTGATTCAAAAGAATGGTTAAATCAAACCCTTCATTTAATTTCTGGGTAGATATTTTCTGCGCATTGACTGCTGTTCGCCTGTGGTATAGTTTCTCATGTTTTTACACAGTTTTATTCTTGCACACCAAATCCTCAAGAAAAAAAAAAAGTATGTAGTTCCCAATTTAATAAGATATTATTTTTCAAAACAGTTTATCTGTTGTCATTAAAAGTGTCATCATCAGGTATTTTCATCAGTTTAATTGGCCACAAATGCATCATCAGAAACCGAGTTTTGTTTCTAAAAGCATTTACTTACTTAACTTTTTGAGGCTACATAGCCTCAAAATGGCCAGGTATAGCTTTTTCTGATATGCGGAAGCCGTAAATAAAATATAGGAAGAATTTAAATTTTTCCATTTCAAAGAGAATCCTAATTCTGAAATCAAGAGAGAGAATTTCAAAGGTTAATGTTAAGTAAATATTAAACATTGGCGAAATACTCTACCAGCTGCATATCCATATCTACCAATGCCACATGTTAAAGAACTGCTTAAGGAATGAGGCTTTGAGCCTCTGGCCTACCCATTGTAAGAAAACATTGGGTGCAAATAAAATATCCATAACTCTTGAGAAATTAATTCTCCTGCTGATTTTCCTCATTCCTGATTTCCAGCTTCATGAGTTTCCAAATGTTAGTTGTTAGCTCGTAATCTCAGTAAGTTTCCATTGTTTCTTTTAAATTGGTCACGACTTCCCATCTGTCAAACCTTTCTGTTTTTTTTTTTTTTTTTTTCCTGTAATTATTTAATCTGGAGGAAATATGATAGAGACAAGGAAGGAGGATTTGTTTTGTGTGGGTCATCAAGCTGAGAGATGTTATGCACTCACAACATCTGATTCAGTCATCCTGAATTTTACATTAGTTATTACCTATCACCATAGTTCTTCATTCACTCGCATGAAATTTCACCTGCCATTTTATTGTGTGATCACTCTGTATGATAAACTTTGTCTAAAAGCCTTCATACTTATTTTTAGATGTAGTTATCTGACATAAGTCTGTAAAGATCCATTCATTTTGTCACTTTATTATTTTAGTCCTTTTTTCTAGGTCATTTAGGCGTGGGTCCGTTATAGAAACTTGTTGAGACCTTGCAAGAAATTTCACTTCAGTATGAAAACTGACCTCTTATACTGCTTACTAATAGAACAGTAACTTAGTACTTTTTTGTAATAAACTCATGATTAATAAATGATAATAATAATTATTAAATTATCACAGAATGGTCGAGGTAGAAGGGACCTCTGGAGAACATCCAGTCTAACGTCTCTGCTCAAGGAAGGTCACCTGGAGCACATTGCACTGGACTGTGTCCAGGTAGCTTTTGATTATCCCTAAGGAAGTAGACACCACCAACTCTCCGAGGGGAATTCGTAAAATGACCCTCAAGAGGATTCCTTCTCTTCTACCATAAGATCTTTGCTGGTTTTGCCCAGTGTGAGCACTTACTCATGTGTCTGGTAACTACACCAGAACTTTTACTAGTTTCATTACCTCTTTTACCAGAATAAAATAATGCATGTGTAGATTTTGAGTGCTGCATTGGTGAAAATCAAAGGCTAGATGATAATCCAAATTTATTGGCATTTAGATTTTTTTTTTTGAAGAGTACTAATGAAAGTTATTGTGGAACAATAAGCTTGTATCTTCCTTAGCACACAGACATGTCATAATTAAGAATGTAGTCTGTAGCAGTCTGGTAGAAAAAGTTTCGATATAGAGAAGCAGATGATGAGAGTACTGAAGAAGCCATATTGTCCCACCAGAGAAGAAAGAATAAACCCTATTGTTGCTTGATATTCAGTGAAATCTGTATCTGGTAGATTTCTCAAATCTCTTTGAGGGGAATTAAGCTATTTGGAATGTAAGAAGTCATCTTCTTTCAAGTAAGTCATGTTTCCTTTCAAGGGCAAACACAGGAAGATGAGGAATCCTTTCTACTTTTTATGTACGTATGATTGTAGAACCATCTGTTAAAAATGGTTACTTTGAAATCATCATCATCTATACATGTAATAAGTATATCTTGTGAGTATACCTGCATGCATGTATTAGAGGAATATTACTGTTTTATATAGTACAATCAATTATTGGAAAAACTCAATTGCAGTTGTGGTAAAACACTGCAAACTTCATAAAGTAAGCACACTAAAAATTGTTCTAGTTAGACCATAAAATTGAAGCAAAAACTAATTCAGAGAATTCTTATGGGAATGGCTAGACCTTCATTATTAAAATAGTTCCTTTGTCACTTCTAACTGGGAGGTACAGAACAGGTATGACACTCATCTGACTTGCTAGGCTTTTTGAACTCTGATGTTAGAATTAAGATTATGACTTTTCATTAACTTCATTGCTCCTTAGGGTCACTAGATTGAGATATGATAAAACTCAAATGACTAAATTAAAAAGGAAAAAAAAAAGGAGGGAGGGAAAAGAGAAACCTTCTACCATGGAAGGTGGTATAAGAGTTGTTATGAGATGACAAAGATTGTTTGTCTTGAGAAATGCGAAAAAAAAAAAGTATTTTTTTATTTTCTGTGTTGAATACTTATTGTCCTTTCAGTAGTTAAATTGATTCTGTTTCTCTCCTGAGTGACATTTCTGAAGTTATTTGCTTGGCCAAGTTAAGATTTTAGCTTTACACGACTTAGTGGGAGAAATTAGGCCATGAGGAGAACTAATTAATTAGCAGCTATGCTATTAGTCATAAGTGACTGGATTATAGAAATAACCCGTTCTGCTTAAAATGACTATAGTTAATTGGGAGACTAGATTTTAAAATATGATGTTTAGTTTACCTGGCGCTGGAAAGAACCAGCCTACATTTCCCATCATTTTAGTAAGTCATCTCTAAGATAAATTTTAAAAGTAATTTGGTAGTAAGATAAATGGATATGTTTGTTTAGTGTAAAGAAACCATTTGTGTAGCCCTTGGAAAAAAGTAAACAGGCCAACAGACTGAATTCTTGTTGTTAAAAGTCTATAAAAAAAAAAGTTAACTGTGCCAATGAGCTCAATCTCTTGAGTTTTGTAACAGTTTTAGCATACTTAGTCGGAGATAAAGGTAGCATCATAACATACATTCTGTTAGGCCTTTGCCTTCTCTCGTCTCAGTCTGATTTCATCATCAACATACTGCCTATTTATCTCCTTTTACTGATACGCTTCCGTCATGCACTTCAAGCCAAGGCCAAAAGATTTCCCAAGTATACCTTTTTAATAATTTTAAATGGAACATTGTTTCTGGAAAATAAGCAGATTTTAAGGGATCAAAGCTACAGAAGGGAGCTTTGAGTTCTCCATCCTTCTGTTCATCCACTGTGTGTAGTACAGCCTCCTGATCCAAGCAAGACCATCTTACATGTCAGGGCCTTAGGACTTCGCCCATCTGAATTTTGAAACTCTCCAAGGGCAGAGCTTCACAATTTCTTGGTGACCCACTCCAGAGCTTAATCACTCATTGTAGAGGAGTATTTCCCTATATCCAGTCATAATTTCCCCTGTTGAAACTTTCTTTAACTTATCCTTTTCTTAAGTGGTTTGAGAAGACTGGTTGTCTTTATGCTCTTTTGATAGTGGAGGACTGAAATGGATCATCTCTAAGTCTTGTCTTCTCCAGGCTGAATAAGCTCAGCTCCATCATCTCTTCCTCATGTGATGTGCTCCAACATGCTGACCATTTTTTTCAGAACCTCTCTGCTGAACTGTCTACTGATGAAGCCACATCTGTGTGGCCAGTTCTGGGCTCCCTGGTGAAAGGCATGGAAATATTAGAGCAAGTTCAGGGGACAATAAGACTGGCTTGGAGTATCTGTCATATGAGGAGAGACTTGGCGAGCTGGGGTGGAGGAGAGAAGATGCCGGGATCGCATATCGGTGCATATAAATACGTTGGGAAGGTGCAAAGAAGACAGACTGTGTCAGTGCAATCCAGTGGAAGGATGAGAGGGAATGGGCACAAACTGAAATGCAGGAACTTCCACTTCTTCCACTATCTGTTTCCAGAATCCTATCCACCAAATACCAGACCTCTCTTGAGAGCTTCAGAGAGTTTATTTTCAGCATCCAATCTATCCTTCACTCTGGAAAACTTATGGGTGTTTCTCCTGTTCACCTCTATACGGTGCTTGTGTTTTCAGATATTCAGAAGTGTTCTTGCACAATACTCTTTACTTAAAAAGTTGTATACATCCTTAGCAAAGGGGAATGCTATTGATAATATATGTTAAATTTTCCCTGTCTTTTTTTGGAGAGTATGTGGTTCATCAAGAATATAGTTCTAGTTTTGCTTCATTACCTCTTATGAGTAGTGCTGGGATATGGAGATCCCTGAAAAAGACGGTCTCAGTTAACTGTAGACTACAGTAGAACATACCACAGCATAGAGAAAGTGAAGGTACCTGACAGGATTTAGGTATACTGTGAAAATCCGCAAATCTTCATTTTATGATTTCTGAGGATTGCTCTTGTTTCTGAGACATGAGAGCTGTATCTCTATCTGTTAATACTTTAATTTTGTTATACCTGAGACCTTTGGATGGGTAGTTGCATTTGGCAAAACATTCATCCTTCTAGACTCAGTGCCACTCCCTCTGAGGACGTGTGTAGATGAATGGTGCTTGGAGACCCTTGCAGTTTGAGTGTGTATGTGCACAATCATTTGAAAGAGAAAAGAAGATTACTGACAAAGGTGCAGTTGTTTAAATCATGAATAACATGCTTGGAGTTCTTTGCAGCTCCAAGAATTGATCAATGAAAGGAAATTCCTGCGTTTTGAGTATGCTCTGTCCTTTCATATCACTTATATGTGTATGTGCAGAGTTTAGAATATATGGAGGTGGTTCCTATCTGAGGCTTAGGATCTCTGTACAGGTTATAGTAAATTCACAATCATGATAAGGACACATACTTTTTTTAGAAGATGCAAATCAAAAACCTCCAGTTGCAAGAAAATAACCATTTTTATTCTTTGTTTACCCGTGTTTTCTGATTTAATTGAGTCCTGGCAATGAAGAGGTGGGCAGTCTGCAGTCCCAAACTGGAGTTTAAAAAACATCAGAACGATGCTCTTTCAATAAATTGCCAAGGAATAGGCTATGCTGAGATATGTTTTGGACTACTGACCATGTAGGATAAAATTAAATTATTGTTTCTGTCATCTCTCCTTTCCTCTCCTCTCCTCTCCTCAGACATGTAGTGTTTTGAAATGAGCAAGAATATTTATTTGATATTTTGCAATCAATCATTTGTATCTGTGATATTTGTGAGTTAAATTCAGTGAAAAGTTTCTTTTTAAACCTTAAGTGATTTCAGCCTGAGGACAGCCAAGGTTCTTCTGGCAAAGACTAAGAAAAAATGCATTTTGCAGAAATGAAAGATGAAGAAAACTGAACTGAGGTGAAATATAATGCAAGAATTGAAGCACTTCTCATGGAAGCATTATGCTCTCTTAAGTGCATTCAAAGTTGTCTGGAATAATCAGCACATTTAAGTCTTTGCTTGGTATGATTTTTTTTTTGAGGAAAGAGTAGTTTTTTTGTGCTATTGATTTTCTTTTTCCTTGATTTTGGGAGCTGAAGTTTATACAAGTTGTGTAGTGCCCTTCATCTTGAAATACCTGGTCTTCTACCAGCTATCTTCATCCACAAAATAACTGAGGTAGTCATGTGAACATAGTCATTTTCTCTTATATAACATCAGTTTAAGAAAGAATTTCACAGGCTCTTTCATATCTCGCTTGTTGCTCTTTCTTTTTTTCAGGTAATTTATTACAATTAACTGTAGTACCTGCCTTAAACTTGCACTTTTCTTTACAGTTTGGAAGAACAGAAGTAATTGATAATACTTTAAATCCAGATTTTGTGAGAAAATTTATAATGGACTACTTCTTTGAAGAAAGAGAGAATTTGCGATTTGATTTGTAAGTTAACTATCTTTGATTCTAATATTAAGGTCTCAGTAAACTTACTAATCTTTGTTGAGCACAGTTAACTTGAAAAGAGATAGTATTTGTGGGCATGGAATAAATTAGTAAGCATGGTTTATTTAACATTCCTTCCTCTGAAATATGCAACATGATAATAACTCTGTTTTAAGAAACTGATAAAGTTAACTAGGCAATATATAATCATATGCATACAAACAGAAAATATTTAGAAAGCTAGGAATGTTAAAATGTTCTTTTAACAAAGTCAGTTAAACAGGCATGAAAAAACTGTCCAAAAATAATGTACGTGTAGTACAGAATCAATTTTTTTTTTTTTGCTAAAATAATGGCAGTATGGATTTAAGTATACTGAATTTTAAGATTTAAATGAATCAATTAAATGAAATAAAATGAAGGCAATTTTAGAAGTGGATGACTTTTTGCCTTATTCCAAATATACTAATTTCTATTATGTTGGTGAAAATAGTTTGATTTCCACTTTATTCAGTGGAAAATAGTACTGGGAGTCCAGTAAACAGATTGTCTTGCATGTCACCTATTACATTTCATCCATTCTTGTTATTCCAGTTATTAAAATAATCAAATTTGTCTTGTTTTCTTTTTTCGTTTGTTTGGTTTTTTTGATCCAATTTTTCTGTTACAAAGGATAGAGATGCTGAGTGTTGGTATATTGGTACTTTGGTCACTGTTAGAGCTAGGCAGTTGAATTAAATAGCCAAACATGTTACTTTTAAAGGATATTTATCTGTTTTCTTGTATTATATAGAATTATTCACTGATAAATAAATGAAAACAGTATTTTTGTCTTATGTCATTTTAAGGTAGGGATGAAATTATTTTTTTTTTTAAATCTAGCTTTAATTCACAGAATCTACTTTTAAAAATCTGACTGGATAGTAGAAAGAAAGCAGTGGCATTTTCTAGCTGGAGGAAGAAAGAGATTGGGATAAAGAGCTGAAAAGAATGAGTCAAACCGATGCTAAAAGCAGTTAGGCTTATTACCACTTACTGCTATGTAATTAGTCAAACTATTGAAAAATCATCTAACAAAATAATTCAAAGATTAGCGTAACATCCGCTAAAAAGATTAATTTAAAAATTTTTTAAAAAGTTATAAATTAAGTAGCTGAATGGTAAGTATTCTATTTTGATATTTTTTTTCCAGTTTGAATTGATTGGGAATCTAACAACACTATTTCTTACCAGCCTGTGCTTTCTAGAAAATATTTCAGTTAGTTAGTGAAAAGTAATCCTTTAATCTGTGATGATATAATTTCCATTTCTATTGGTGAGACATATATATACACATATTTTTTCTTTATGTTGGCCTCAATTCTGTCATCTGAAATTTTGGATATAACTTTCCTCTTTTTCTTTTTTTTTTTTTTTTTTCTTTAAGCTATGATGTTGATTCAAAGAGTCCTAACCTATCAAAACATGTAAGTCTTTTCTGGTTATTACATTTTCTTGTGCTGAAATGCTTGTATTTTTCTCTTGACTATAAATAATACCAAATATATAGAGACGAATGAAAATACTAAGCAGTCTCATTTAATTTTAGGGATTTAAGTTTAGGTATTTTTAAAAAAAGCCAACCTAAAGAATTTCAGTCTCAGTGACTGAATTTTGGCAAAATTAGAAGCAATTGAGATAAAATAGGTAGGAAATTACCTTTAAGAGTAGAAAGTCAAATTGGCTACCTGAAACCCTGAAATTAGTGGCAATTTCCAGATTTTTAGGATGTTTTCAGCATTTTAGAGGCAGAGTAGTAAACAATTGTAATTAACAACAGACTGTGGAACTTTATAGGTGTTGATCTTTGAAACTCTGGCATAAACTAATAGGAGATTCTTGAAGAAAAAAAAATATTTGAATATGTGATTTCTGTATGGAGAATATATTTTAGAATATGCCAAGCCTGATGATTTTAAAAATGAAAGAATAGCTGAGTATTTTCTTAAGAATTTTAGTTGTTTTAAAAGAATTGATCTTTATGGAAACACTATCAGGGCACTTGTCGAGCACTTGCAATTCCCAGTAAAACCATAGCCTTCTGAAGTGAAGGATTCTTCAGTACTTCTGTTATGATATAGCTACTATCTGTATTTAATTTATATATGTGTGTTGTTAAAGCAGTCAGTCCAGCATACTAATACTATGCACTATCTTGAACTCCTGTCAGTGTCATTAAGCTTTAAGATATGGTGGAATCAGTGTAAAATCTCTTTAATAAAGAGAAAAAAGTGTAAATGATCCAGTCAGGTAAAAAAGCAGTCATGTTGCTAATGCTTAAATTTTCCATTTCAATTTCATTTTTTGTTCTTGAAAACGATAGTATAAGCCCAGTAAATTAGTAATACTTTTATAATTGTGATCTGGTGTAAATTAGAAGCACTTCTGTAAGTTTAATCCAGTATTATATAGAATGTATACAGCAAGTCTATTTTACAATTTATTATTGCATAAGTAAGTTGTTAAGGTATCATATTCATTAAAGATGTGTTCTATTTGGTAAAAAGTCTAGGTGAATGGGAAACCAATTTTCCTCCCATGTAAAATATTAATTCTGAGCTTTTTACGTTACTATTTTTCAGGATTTTTTGGGACAGATGTTTTGTACTTTGGGAGAGATAGTTGGATCACAGGGAAGCAGACTGGAAAAATCAATTACGTAAGTATATCCTTGAATTTTGCATGAGTACAGACTCCTTAAGGAGATGAGGTTTTTCATTCACTGTAGAACACTGGCAGATGCCCATTCATTTACACTGGCATCATTCAACATGTACAGAATGTTTTGGTACTTAATGCATCTTATAAAAATCCTTAAGATCACATGGGTTGCTGTTGCAGATGCTGTTATGGAATGGCATATCATAGTGGAAAGCAAACTAAGCACTAAAACACATTTGGTCCTACCCATTAACACATTGTAAAGCTTTATTGTGTTTTATTCAAACATCAGAAAATAAAATTCTTACTATGTATTCAAAGTTGAACATTTCTGCATTTATTTCTATTATTCGTGATGATACTGTTCCCAACCAATAAGGTAAGCCAGAGTATCAGGTATTTTCTATCTGTCCTGCTAATTTTAACAAACTCCTGCATATGGTCAACAGATTTCTCTCCTGCTGAGATGATTTTGATCTTTGCAAAGTGTAACTCATAAAGAAATATAAATATTTAAGATGTTTGTATTAACAATACATGATACTGTATTCTAAAGTATGTTTCCAGTAATTAAAAATAATTTGTAAATTAAATGTGTGCTATAAGTTTGGATATGACATATTAAAACCAGTCATTTAAAGATATAGTTGGACATGTCTTTTGATGCTAATACCTGTTTTTTTTTTGTTTGTTTGTTTGTTTGGTTTGGTTTTTTTTGTTCATGTTTGTTTTTTTTAACAATCATTGCACTACAGTGCAATGAATGCACTGTCTGAGTTGGGCGGAGAGGAACCTCATGAAGTTCAATAAGGACAAGTGCAGGGTCCCGCACCTGGGAAGGAATAACCTGAGACACCGGTACAGATTAGGGGTTGACCTGCTGGAAAGCAGCTCCATGGCGAGGGATTTGGGAGTCCTGGTTGACAGCAGGTTAACCATAAGGTAGCAATGTGCCCTCATGGCCAAAAAGGCCAATGGGGTCCTGGCTGCATCAGGAGGAGCGTTGCCAGCAGGTCAAGGGAGGGGATCCTGCCCCTCTGCTCAGCTCTGGTGAGGCCGCACCTGCAGTATTGGGTGCAGTTCTGGGCTCCCCAGGACAAGAGGGATGTGGAGCTTCTTGAAAAGGTCCAGCGTAGAGCAACAAAGATGATTAAGGGCCTGGAGCATCTATCGTATGACGAAGGACTAGGCGAGCTGGGCCTGTTTAGCCTGGAGAAGAGAAGATAGAGAGGAGATCTGATCAATAAGATAGAGAGGAGATCTGATCAATATGTACAAGTATCTGAGGGGAGAATGTAGCGAGGATGGGGCCAAACTCTTCTCGGTGGTGGCCAGTGACAGGACAAAGGGTAATGGATACAAGTTGAAACACAGGCAGTTCCATCTCCATGTGAGGAAGAACTTCTTTCCTGTGAGGGTGACAGAGCCCTGGAACAGGCTGCCCAGAGAGGTTGTGGAGTCTCCTTCTCTGGAGATCTTCCAAACCCGCCTGGATGCCACCTTGTGCCACGTGCTCCGGGTGTCCCTGCTAGAGCAGGGGCGTAAAACTGGATGATCTCTGGAGGTCCCTTCCAACCTCAACCATTCGGGGATTCTGTGATAGTGGCTGTTCCTAAATTTGATTATTCTGTCTACTGAGTGTTCTTGTCCAGTTTTACTGAGTGTGTCATGAATGATATATCAGGGTTATTTTGTTTGTTTTTCCTCATCACTGACTTCCTTGTAAGTGCAGATGAAGTTTTAAAAGTTAGTAAGCCTTACATGGAACACAAGTGAAGTATCTGTATCTGTGTGACTCTTCAGAGAAGAAATATCATTTGTGCTTATTTCTTGAATATACTGTCTTCCAAGTTACAACTAAGTAGACATTTGTCAGTTATTTGAAAATATTTTTCATCACCAAACTTTGTTAAAAACACCAAAGATGGTGCTTGTTGGAACTTTGTATTCAGATAACAAAATCCAGGATCAGTCTACAAAATCCAGGTTGTCCTTAGATATTCTTTTAGCATAAATATAAATGCAAGAAAACTCCCTAATCAAAATATATTAATAGTGGTTTATCAGTTTGATGTATAATTATTTTAAAATCTCTTGTCATATTTTGTTTTTCTTCTATTTAACCTAATTAGCCTTTTTTGCTATTTAGGTGATTTTTTAAATCTTTTCATCAGCATATTTTGTATCCTAACAAATTAAAAGCAGCAATTTAAATAGTAGTTTTGTAGTCCTTTGAAAAATTTCAGGATGTTTTGTTATCAGAGTCCAGAACATGCCAGCAATAGCCTTTTCTTAGGGATTTTTCTTGTTTATATAAATAATGTCATTGATTTAAAAAATAAAAATTTTTTAGACTGCATCTAAGAACTTCATATTTTCCATGGAAATGGCCCTAAACTTTTCAGCTTGATATTAGCAACAATCATCAGAGAGAACCCTCTATGTTAACTGTCACTTTTTTTTTTTTCAGTAACTTGAAAACTCTTAACTGTCATCCGAGGAACTCTTCTCAATACTCAAATAAAATTTAAAAAGCTTTGAGCTTTTTCAAACTTTAAAAATTTCAACACAAGTGTAAGCTGCAAAAGCATTTTAAACTTCATGAGTCTCTAATTTATAACTACTCTAAATCTCAAGAGAGTTGTTTCTAAAAGTCTTTTTCTGCATTGAATAACCATTCAGAACAGCCAATTCAAACTGATAAACTGAAAGCAGATTTACATTATTTGGTCTAAAAATAGTCTGGTCTTTCCATCTAAATGACAGTATTCAATCTAAATATTATTATAAAAACTTTAGAAGTCTTTCTAATAAACTAAAATATTTTTCTTACAAAAATATAGTAAGTATTGTAAAAATATATTTTAACTTTAAAAAATAATTTAAAGGGATTTAAATTAATGCAATTTCAGAGACTAATGCATAGCTGAAACAAATTCTTTCGAGTCATTAATACTAGGGACTGGTCAGCACTGCTTTGTGGAAAGGCATTCCT